TCTGTCTCCTTTACATCTGTGAATCATTTTCTGTCCCTCATCTCGACATTTTTTCCAATTTGATGTTGCTCCTTCTCTTTCCGTGAAGCCAGAAGTCAGACGAAGGGCTAATGCTAGCTATCAAAGCGCCTGGCACTTGAAATAAATTATTGCACCTGATCTATCCTATGTATGGTATAGTGATTATAATTTCGCGGGTGTCGCAACAATGTCTAACTATTTACAAGTCCATGCGCTATTAGGAGTTGAACTGTTTGTAACTCGGGTGGTCTCAAGTGTACCCATCAGCCTAATGCATGTGGAAATGCAAATGCTAGCACAAGGCAAGCAGATATTCGAGATGGAGAGGGGTAGTGATCGTAAGTACCAGTCATGAGTATATTAACTAAAACCATAAATAATTAAAATTTTTTTACAACTGTGATTTAAATAATCTGAAATTGTTTGATCGCTATCAATGTTTCTGAGTGCAACTTTGAGACCTTTCAGTTTAACCGTGACCTCTAACACTCAAAACGTTTTTATCTAACCCCCAGTGAGACTAAGGCAATTGATAAGCTCATCACACTCCCTTTTCAACTATTTATCCTTCTATTTCTATAAGTCCGATGGGTTTCACAAAACTTCTACCACTTTTCAAGCTAAAAATATTTAACTGTAATCTCGGATTTTTAAGTCAGATCTATATTTAATACTTACTCTGTTTTCATAAATATGGATCCCAAATGAATCTAAGCTTAAAAGGAAGCAGCAAAACCATTTGTTCTCTCTTTTTTATGTTCACGAATACACTGAAATGTGTGATTTTACTAGTGTTTACAATTAGACTCACTTATTAGTTTTTCATATTAGAAAACGGTGTGTCTTTTTCAGCCGCTAAATCCTTCTTGAACCATAAGACGGACTATTGCGTCCATCAATTTCAGCGTATTGTGTTAAGCAAATAATTTTTGTGAGTTCTGCTAACTTATGACATAATCTGACTCCGTATAGTAAACATTGGTTCTGAACGAATGCTAAATGGCGGTCCTTAGTTCAGAGCCTTTCCCGGGTAAGTAAATGGATGGAAAACATTAGCATTAACTGATTTTATCAAGTCTTTTCTTAAATGTTTCAAAAAGTTCTAATGGATTGATTTTCAGAGATGGTGGCAGGATTTGTTGACAAATAAGAAAGATATATAAACGGTGGGCAACTATTTGTTTAGCACTGTCAAATAGCTGCGGGCATTTTTTTTAAAATTTGAGGATAATTACATTCGGATTGCAGATAATTCCGTCAAATATACCTCATTATATTTCCTGATTTTTATAATCATTTTTGCTTGTTTTCTTTATCGAAATTTAATGTATGTTCAGTTGCTTCAAAATTGCAGTGAAAAAACCATAAGAAAATAATAAAATTAGTTATGTTAAATAATAGTCAATGATAAGGGTTTGATATTAATGAATATAAATAGGAAAGATTTTTATCAAAAATTTGTGCAAGCAGAAAAGAATATTTTTGAAATTAAGTAAATAGAAAATTTCGTTAATTATCCTAATAATATTGAATAAGTGAATTATTAAATTTTTCAACTTTATATAGGGAAAGAAATACTATATGCACAAAACTGTTATTGTATGTTTACTCAATTTTGAACCCAAATGTAAATTAATTATAAGGAATTATTTTACAGTGTCATTTTTATATAAATTTAATGGTGTTTGGTCAATCGAATAAGTATTTACTTTCAAGGATACGAGCAGTTTTAAAAGCATACGTCACATTTATGTTGTTGTAATGCGAGAAAGTGAGATCGTCCAACAACATGAAAGTGGCAAATTATTTAGCAACTATATCCATTCTGTTATTGCTTTTAACAGGCAGGTCCAAATTTATAATATTATATAGGAACAAATCCAGTAGTTAATGCTCGTGTGCTTATGTTTTTATTTTTAGGTTTGAATAATTTTTTTACAAAATCGTTTTGCATTTTCAATTCTAAGATCTCAAAGGTTCAATAACCTTTTTGAATCTATATTCTAGGTCATAATGCAATGAACGAAGCGCATTCAGATTATCTTGAGGGTGATCGTGTTGATTTGCACTTCATTTTTGCCAAAAAACCGGATTCCTCATCTTCTAACGTTAAATGGTTTTTTCAACGTCGAGACAACTTAGAAATCATCCCAGTTTCTTCAAATATTTCCATGCGGGTAAATATTTCTTCATTTTCGGAAACTTCAAGCAGATAGTCTGCTAGATGGTAATGCCTCTAATTTTGCTCTTCAGTATAAAACTACCATTCAAAACATACTCTGCCCTGAATACCTTGCTGCTCCAATGAATTTCTCTTGTCAGATTGCAAGTCTCAGCTTGATTGGAGCATTTTTTGGAGATATTGGTGATTATACTGCTCAAGTAGAAGGAGAGGACTGTTCCCCTTGCTCCACCACTTTTTCAATCAACGTGATCCCAAAGCCAACGTAAATCATACCTCACTTTTACTGTTTCTGTCTTACGGCATTTACGTGGCAGGGATATATAGATATACATATATTTAAGATTTTATTTGAAAATTGTGTTAAATCTTCAGGGAATAGAAGTTAGTCAGGTATTTAAAATGAAGTGAATTGTGGTTTAAAAGTCATATGCATTTGTTTACATAATATGCAAACACTAAACACACACATTGATACATTAGCATTCTCTCTGAGCACTAAAACACGATATACCTTTATTTCACCGTTCAATACCCCAGATGCCGATTTTCAATTATGAATGCTTAGGAACTTTGCTTATAAATATATAAGTATGGGCGTGCATGTGTGGTCATAAGTGATCTGGATTTAAGCGTGTATGAGATATAATGCGTGTTTCTCAACAACGATTTCAGGAGGTTACTGATTGTAGCAGAAATTCTGCATCTTAGTATCGAAGTCTACATATGGTGAGCACAGTCGCTTCCAGTCGAATTATCAGTGGTGCCAGTATATATGAGTTCTGTGTATTAACGTGTGTTCTATTTACTAGATAGGTGAAACAATGACTTCGCAATTTTAAATTTTGCAGAGTTCAGTAGGGATAGTGTTTTGATAACTTTTGATTCGTAATAATCGAAAGTTCCATTTAAGTTCTTATCAAACTTATAAATTGGACAATAAGAACCATATACTCCAAGGTCTTATACATGGAAGTGAGAGCTCTGAGATACTTTACAATTATCTTTCCTGACTTATAATTCAGAGATCAGCATTCATTTAACTTTCAACTCATTAAATTGGGAGTTAGTGTACGAAGATGCATATGTGACAGAGCTGAGAATTTGAAGAGTGGTCGAATAAAAACTTCCTTCTTTAAGCATAAGCTCACAGCATTTACCCGAGATTAAAAATAATTTTTCACTTTTGCTTTTTATATGGGATTTCACACATTTATAATAAGCTTGATAGAAAAATATAGTGTTTGCCAGTCTAAAATGGTTTCATTAGTTTAGTCCTCTGCATTTACGCCTAAGGATATGTGAACTTGTGGTTATTTCAAATCAATGTATCTCGGCTCACACTAACAGCAGATTGCCTCTTCTACACTTCTACATGCTTAATAATCTGCATAGTTTTATCTTGTTACAAAGTTGTGAAAATACAGTAAAATGTTTATTACCGATAAGTCTACGATCCAATATTCTGACATTGATAACACCTACTTAAAGCTATTTACATAGTAGCTAATATCTCAGATAAAAAAAACGTATTGCCAAATTTTGTTAATTGCATCGTGTTTGCGGATAACATTTGTGGTTGCTTTTAGGGTTCCAGAGGAGGAGGAAGAAGAAGAAGTAACTGATCCACCGGAGGAAACTTACGGTGAGAACGCTTTCATTTAGTATCATTTTCATAATTTTCAGGATATCACTATTTCAATAATTAGAATGATTGGTCAGCACATTTTAAGACAAATATAACTAAAATTATATTTTTTTATATCTAAGTTGTTTAAAGAGGAAGTCAGAAATCTTATCCGTTTGTTTTTCCCTTTATAGGCATGTCTACCAGTTAAAACAAACTTTAGGCCACTTTTTGTTTTAATGCAATTATGACTTCTTAGATCTGTAATTGAAAATGATAATTTTTTGCCCTGCACGTGATTATATGCCCGTATAAAAGGTTCGCATGAAATCATTAATCAAGGAGTGAATTCGCAACCTACAAACAGTTGGCTAGAAGATATTGTGAGAAAACCGACCCATTTGAAAACGCGCTACAAAAGAAGTTTTTTTTCGTTGACAAGTCCTCGTTTTTCAATTCGAGTAATTACAGGGAAAAATCTCGTGTTCGACACAGAGTAACTAGTACCCATTACAAATGTATCTGTACCATCTGATAACCCTTCTGCCTATTCCATGTTAATCTCCACTGTTTCTATGCTATTAAGTCCAGGTATGTCGAGAGTCTGCATTATCAGTACCTATCGAGATTGTGAAATAGAAGCTAAGGTTTACATCTTTGTTAGAGGTTTCGGATTCGATACTCGTGGGGTGGCAGAAAGCAAGTTTTTCCCTCAAAGTAACTCTAAGAAACGAGTTTGCCAGTAAGATTATTGTTTCAAAAATACATCTCTGCACTAACTGTGGTAAATATCTCGAACATTTGAGAAGTTATGGTATAGTGGGACACTTACTATGACTTACTTTTAACTTCGGTAAATATTGAGAACACTGTAACTGATTTTCGGACACCTGTCCGTAAATTATCCAAACAAACGGAAATCGACCATTCTTAAAAAAATGTTGAAGGTTGGTAACTTATCAGAGACAAAAAGCATGTTTGAAGATTTTGACCCCGAGGATTGTATCGAAAGTAGCTTAATTCCAATGCCTAATTAAACAGAACTTCACGTTGGAGGACAAAATTATTGGGCTTATCAACTCATGCGTGCTCAACACTGCGCCGATAAGTCCCTTCCTATTGGTCATTTTTGTCGAAGAATACACAGTTATACGTTTTGAATAGGGATAACTTATACTGCTGGAAGTATTTTCCCTCGTTGATGTTGACCATTCGTATTTTGTACTACCATTTTTAGAAACTGTATGGCGTATTTGTCAAAATTATTTGCAATTCCTCTATTCAACGATGTTTCATTGCAAGCACAATGTGACATAAGGATTTCAGCAGTTTTCTTAATTATTAAATTCGATTGGACTAGCATTTAGCTACTATTGTGTTATAGTCGCTTATTAAGGGCATAACTTCTTTCAGTAACGGCTTATATTCAATAAGTAATCGAATAATATGTTTATTCACAACATTGTTCTACACAATAACATGTTTGCAATGACGATGTTGCATTAGTAGTTAAATTTGATGGTAATTTCAAGATGCATAATTTCCTACTCCCAGCTCTAGTTCATCAACTTGAAATCTTAAACTTTCAGCGAGGTATAAAACATAGGAAAAACTACAGTACAATGCTATTGTCATGTCAAAGATCACGGGTTCGATACTACTCACCAATTTTTGAATATCAGGACTGCTATTTCACCTACATCCCTTCTTGTGGGAAATGAGGCAAAAATATCAATGATTTGTTGTTAATAATTTTTCTGGAATGCACAGAATTTTAGCATTTAATCGCGTTTGCATCTAGCCTCGGGTAGATTTCAAAAGTGCTTATTTTCCCTAAAATTAAAAGAAGTATGCTTTTCTTCTAATTATTTTTACCGGACAGAAAGTTTGACTCCATGAAACCGTCAAACTGGTTCAGTATTCCCAGTGGTGCACCATAGATTAAAATAATTTTAAAAAATAGAAAAATTTCACAAGTTTAGTACATATTGGTTTGAGCGATACCGAAAGACGGCCTTTGGGAAACTTATCTCTGAATCCAAACATTCTCTCAATTCGTGAATTGTGGTTGGTGTCAGGTTAGCAGAAGGTTAAGAGAGCGAGAGGAGCATAGATTGACATCTCTAAATCCCCTCAGGAAATCAAATCATCAGGTACTAAAATTTGACCATGTTGACTATACTTTTAATAATTTCATTTTAAATTTCGACCTCGCATACACACACTAGTCGTGTTTTACTATTTTAAATTTGAATCTCGCGCGTTTCTGTAGCTAAAAATTAAAGTTTGCTTTTGTTTGTAGGCCCATTCTACAAAATAGTTCTATCCGTTCACGTGCCTTCTTTGTCTAAATTGTGAAACCGAAATGTCTTTCACCTATTAAAACTTTTATCACGCTTACTTTCCGCAGCCCAAAAGATAAAAAATAGGCATTTTGTAAGAACCTTAGGGTAATTAGATTTTGAAACAAAATAGTAGTTAAAAAGGCTTAAAATAATGCCAAATTATACACCAATCAGTTCGGTCCCAAGTCTTCATTATTTCCAATTGTGTTTCTCTAGGGGCTAACAATTTCAACCTTCGAGTAATAGGAAATAGGTAAAGTCATTAGATGTACCAGTAAGAGACCCCACAGTTAGGAGGAAACATACAATACCCTAATTATTTTTAAATTATCTACAATACAATTTTGGCCATCATTTACAACTCTTTCCCATTTGTCTCGTGGTTTTTCGTTCCCATCTCAGAAAAAAATTGCTGATTTTATCTAAAGTGACAGTTCAAGTTGGTTTAAAATTCAGTCGTAATTCGTAGAAGATGGTCTCTTGAATACGGTTCACGGACCTGATAAAGAGTTAATAGAATAGGACGAGATCTGGTACATATGGAGACCGTATGGGCATTATCCTGTTGAAGAATCACCCAATTTCTGTTAAGTAAACCTTCTGTTTTACTCTTCCAAATCGTTGACAACAGACTTTGGCTGTAAATTTGTTGGCATTTGTAGTTTTTCTTAATGGATTATTACACATACACCCCATGAAATTCATGAAGGAAGTTTCTGAAGCATGAAAGGAAGTTTGTGTTAGGTGATGTTAAGTGGTGAAATGGGGGTTTGATTTGGAGACAGCCATTGACTTTCTCAACAGTGTCTACACAAACGATCCGATTCACACCCTCTCCTCAACCCCCACCCCAACCTCCTCCCTCCTGTGCCAATTTGGTGTGATAAAAGAGGAATTCTTTGTTGTCAAGGCAGCAGAGAAATGCACGTGTTTCCCCTCTCATCTTTCTTATACCGGAGGTGGGGTGTAATGGGGTGGGGGTAGTGAGGGAGGGGTGGGGGGGGGAAGGGGTTGATGCGGCGGCATCCAGATTCCTTTCCTCTTTTATTTTCCATTTTTCAAGTGAAATTACACAATGGACCATTATCTGTTACAATTCTCAAAATTAACTTCTCCGTGGACATAATTATTGAAAATCCAATAACATGGAAAGAAGAATCCTTGTGGTTTTGTGATAAGATGTGAGTAACTCACTTTTATACCACTCTTGACCAGAGTCTAGTGTATGTTGAACTCTTGTCATATTATCATGGATGGTTCTCGGTTTTTGTGCTAATTTACTCATCATAAATAGGTT